CGCCACTGCAAGGCACCCATCTACCAGGTGGCACCCGGGGCAGACCGCCCCCTCCGCCCTCCCCTTAGTCCGCCACTGCCCCCTATACGTAAACATCACAGCCCCTATACACACACGCACACTTCAGAACTTATGAACATACTCACAACAGCTCTGATTACAAACACGCAATGCAACCCATATACACACACCCTGCAGCCCCAAGATAGAAACACACATTCTACACGCCTCACGCATACTGACACGCATACACACTCTACAGTCTCTAGGCACATACACTTCACAGCTCTTAGACATGGAGAAGTGCTCACACACGCTACACACTTCTAGGTGCACTAACATCCAGGCACTTTATTTTTCAGGACTGTATATTTGGATCTTAATGTGTTAGCATATGTGACAAATATTGTTTACCACGTTAGTTAGTTTACTGCTGTTTTATTTAATAATTATACTTATATTGCACTTACCCGTTTAATACCTGTGAGTAAAAATGTTTTTTTTCGTCAAGCTGTCTAATCTCTTAATTTAAAATAAGAATGGTACATTTTAAGAGGTGGAGGTATTGGATGAGATGGTGTGGCCAGAGAGGGGTGCTGTGAAGATTTTCACACAGGGCACTTAAAGGCCTAAGGCCGGCCATGCTAATAGTCGCAATATCTGCCAGTGCAGGATAGTTCATTAGATTTAAAGGACCACTATAGGCACCCAGACCACTTCAGTTCAATGAAGTGGTCTGGGTGCCAGGTCCGACCTGGTTTTAACCCTGCAGCTGAAAACATAGCAGTTTCAGAGAAACTGCTATGTTCACATTGAGGGTTAATCTAGCCTCTAGTGGCTGTCTCGGTACAGAAAAAAGAAAGGAAGGCAGCGCCACTATAAACCACATAAATTAAAAGAGCACAGAATAGGCAGACTAGAATGCAATATATATGATAGATAATAAGCAAATAGAAGTCCAGAATAAATAGTCTGACTGGTAGATGAATCAAACAAATATCTTTGTAGAGGTGAATACAGTCTTTTGTAGTGGGGGATTCTTCAGAGTGGTGTAGATGCGTCTTTGTACATCATATGAAATGAGAAAATAACAACTGATGGTATAGTATGTCCCGAAAGGGGTAGAAGCAATAAAAGAGTATATGGTCCTACTCACGTTTTCAAGAGCTATGGACTTAGCTCTAGTGTTGATAATGTACAGTGGTATAATCCCCACTTATGGGATACGTGAGGTCTTAGTATTCTTTTTTGATTAGGGAACCATATGTGAAAATAAAAGCAGGAACAACAATGGTGCTCAAAGTATAAAATGCCAGAGGTGAGAAGATAAAAAACCAAGTGGTTACTCACATTTAGTTGAACAGACTGACTGTTCAATGAATACAGCTTGAGTGGTATAATCCCCACCTAGGATTCTTGGGAGTAATATCCTCACTGGAAAGTAAAAATACTTCTGTGCCGGATAAAAGGATGGTAGTAATAAAAAAGTAAAATAATAATAGTAATAAAAAGTAAGATGGCTAACTCACAGTAAGAAAGTGGCAGCCACTGACAGCCACTTACTGACAGCCACTAGAGGCCACTTCCACGATTCTCAGTGTGAAAATCACACTGAGATGATGCTGACGTCCATAGGAAAGCATTAAGTAATGCTTTCCTATGGGCGGTTTGAATGCGCACGTGGCTCTTGCCGCACATGTGCATTCGGAGCTGAGGTCGGAGGGGGAAGAGAGGTCATCAGCGCCGAGGGAGCCCAGCGCTGGATTAAGGTAAGTGGCTAAAGGGCTTTTAACCTCTTCAGCCCAGCGGGAGGTGGGCCCTGAGGGGGGGGGACCTAATAACCCTATAGTGCCAGGAAAATGAGTTTGTTTCCCTGGCACTATAGTGCTCCTTTAATAGTAAAATAAATAATTCCATACTGCACACAGGCACACAGAATAATGCTCTACAGCAATTTGTTCGACTATGTTGCAATTTGGCCTTTTTTTTTATCTCATCTTATACAGTTATATCACAAGAAAATATGCATTCCATCTTGCAAATATTTTCACTTAATACTCTGAAATGAAAATGTTTTTCTCTCATTCAATGCGTATGTGAAAATGAATACACTCCAATTACACAATAACACACAAACCGCATACTGGGCATCTTGGCCTTGAACTAAACCCTGGACCTGTTTATAGAAAGCGCTCCCCTTCACACAATATCCTCTTTATGTTCCATAGACAGAACACATCCTTTCTCCTCTGTCCCACCCCTCCTCCAACTATTCTTTCTCACTTCCTTGCACTCAACGGACCACCTGCAGAGAACCTTTATTGATCAGATTCTAAAGTGTCCATTATGGGAGGGCTGGCCCTACTTGAAATTAATAAGACATTGTTTTAGTGATATCTTAAACTCTAGTAAGGATAAGAAGCCTGGAGTGCCCTGTTGCTGGAAGGCCAGTTAAACGTTAAATGCAGGAACACTGAAAATCGAACTGCAAAGTTTAGACCAGAAAAAAACAACTATTTGTAAACATCGTGCAGTTCATACCTAGCTGTTCCAATTTACTAAGTGAATAAGACCCCTATATGTTTTAAAGGATGTCTCTAAAATTAAATAAAATTGTATGTCTTTTTAATGATAACGTTTTCTCTGAGACTTTTTGATTATGTATACTCTTTTTAAACTTAAAAAAAAAAAAAAAAAAACATGATTTGTATTTATTGTGTATCTGTCTCTGACGGGCAGCTGCTACTCCTCTTCTGAGATAATCTGTTGCATTGGGATCTACTAGGCATGGGTGGCAATTGGCAGTCAGATGTTTCCCTAGGAGAAGCATTAATACCTTTTAGCATCATGTTGTGTGTGATGTCACAGAACGGAAGTTGTGTTTTTCTTTTTTTGTGTTAAAATATTTATGAATTCCAATATTCATTTAGTTTTACACAGGCCAAACTGAAACACTCCTGTAACATAAATGTGCATGGGGATTTGAGATAGCGCACAGTTGTTGTTTTTTGCGTTGGTATTTTTTGCTTTTGGTATTAGGAGTTTAAGCACAGGGCTTAATTTTGTATGTTTGTATTCTTCTATATTACACATCCATGTTACAGTGCTACACTACCCTCAGCGTGTTTTATTAAGGGTTAACATTAGTGATGTCCCGAACGGTTCGCCGAACGGTCCGCCACGAACGGTTCGCCACGGACTCCAGTCAGCAGACACATTACAGCCAATCGGCAGCAGACCCTCCCTCCCAGACCCTCCCACCTCCTGCACAGCATCCATTTTGAAGCTGCATTCTTAGTCAGCTGTCCAGGAGGTGGGAGGGTCTGGGAGGGAGGGTCTGCTGCTGATTGGTTATAACAAATAGTTATAACTTTCTTTTTCTAATAAAGTTTTGGTATCTATTCTTTATGTTCAGAGCGGACGTAATAATAATGCAAGATGTACCCACACTATTATTTTTAACTGTAAAGATAATATTAGTACAAAGATGAACATAAAAGTCACCTGCCAACTTTGAGTAATAATTTCCTGCCAACACACCTACTTCTCCCTGGCACCACCCTCACCACCTTTATTAGCCTCCTTCCTGTAGTAGTGCTTTAAATCATTTAAAGCTATGTCCTCTGATTTGTAACTCCAATAAAGGAGTCACAGCACTAACACATTGCATAGGGCATGGCATACTAACTCTCCCAAGCAATCTGGGGTGTTACCGAAAACTAACTATCCACCCTGTTGCATTTAGATTATAACCTGAATTACAGCCTTATACAAGGGGTGGAAACCAGTTGGTAAGGAGTGAGAAATAAAACACTTTAAGAAGTAGTATTACAGGCATTTAGTCATCAGCAATGCAGGAGACTCAGAAAGGACAGGACTATTACGTGAATTTTGTTTACCAACTAAAGTGGATATAATTGGACTTTCCTTTCATCTTCGGAACATGGTAATAACAATTTTATTGCCTGTAAAATAATCTTTGTTCAGCTCAATACTCATTATAAAGGGGTATAACTTATCCACATGTTTTTATTAACAGACTGGTATTGTGTATACAAAAATGAATATTTTGTCTTCTGGAGAAAGCTTATCAGTATTTCACTTTAGTTTTGCACTAAGGCAGAAACACAAGTATATCTGCTTTTTGTTACATTCAGTAGAAGGAATTTTCATGAGAACCTTCTGGTGGGATTTGCAAGACATGTCATAGTTACATATTTGTCTATGTTGAAAAAAAGATTTAAGTCCATCAAGTTCATCCATGAAGCCCATTCTTTTATGCCGTTGATCCAAAAGAAGGCAAAAAAAAACAAAAACAATTGTATCCATTTCCAATAATGCCACAAAAATGGGAAAAAATCCTTCTTGACTCCATAATAGCCTTCAAATTTCTCCTTGGGGCAACAACCTGTTTACATACATATCAATTATATCCTTGAACATTCTGTTAATGCAAAAAAGCATCCAATTCTTTTTTAAATGTATCTATAGAATCTCATAATTCAACATCTTTATTGCTCTTACCATAAAGAACCCTTTCCTCTGCTGTAAGTGAAAACGCCTTTCTTCCAGTCCAAATGAGTGACCTCTTTGTATGTTGTATATTCCTGCTAATGAACAGGTTAGTACAGCACATAGCTGACCCTGTATATATCTATATAGTGCTATCATATCCCCTCTGGGGCAACTTTTTTTTCTAAAGAAAACAGTTGTTTCCAAGTCCCTTTCATTTAATGTTATCTCTAACACTATCCTATTTAATGTATAATGGATTGTGGGTTCCTTATTCCAAAATGCATGACTTTGTATTTATCTGTATTGAATCTCATCTGTCACTTGGCTACCCAGTCCCCCAATTTATCCAAATCACTCTGTAGAGAAACCATATAATGTTCAGAATGTATTTTCTTAGTCTAGTCATCCACAAACACAGACAAATCACTTTCCATGTCTACGTCAAGATCATTTCTAAACAGATTAAAGAGAAGTGGACCCTGGACAGAACCACGAAGCACTCCACTTACCACTTTTGTCCAATTTGAAACTTTTCCATTTACAAATCCTCTCTGCTCTCTATCTTTAAACCAGTGTTCTATCCCAGAACATTATTTTTTTTTAATCTAAACCACCTGATTTCAGTTTTGCTAGGAATCTTCTGCATGAAACTGAATCAATTGTCTTAGCAAAATCCAAGTAGATCACATCAACTGGAACACCTTGACCTATATTCCTACTAACTTCTTCATATATTGCAATTAAGTTTGTTTATGTCTTTCATAAAACCATGTTGATTCCTACTAATGATAATTATCCCTTAACAGCTCATCAAATAATGTCCCAACCACAGATGTTAAGCTCACAGGTCTGTAGTTTCCAGGCCGAGCTTTTGAACCCTTTTTTTAAATATAGGCACTACATCTGCTTTTCTCCAAACTTCTGGAACAATTCCTGAAAGAAAAGAATCGATATGATACCATATTATGGTTACTATTTCCCAAGAGCTCCATAACTTGAGTGTTTGGAAATAAGTCAACAATATTAGTTATGACAAGATCAAAGCAAGCATCTCGTCTAGTTGGCACTTCTACTAATTGAAACATGGAATTATAATTTATCAGGTTCAAAAGTCTGTTTCCCTTCAGTGTACCACTAGTCCATCTGACCCAATCAATGACTGGGTAATTAAAGTATCCCATGATTAACAAATTACCAGTTGTGCAGCGTTATTAATTTGAGATAGCAGTTGCTCTTTTTACTATTAATGGATATCCCATTGCCTCCTATGCATATTTCTACCCATAAGGCTTACATACCCCATCCCATTTTCAGTTTTTTCAATCCTTTCTAAATAATGTATATCCATTGAAATGAATAGCACAGTGATGTCAACCCACCAAGTCTCAATAATTAAAATTCCGTTATACTGTTCCGTGTATGCCAACATCTCAAGCTCCCCCATTTTCCTACACAAAGTTTTTTGCATTAACAAGCAGACATTTAAAGTTACCATTTGTTTCTAGAACTTTATTTGAACAACATGTAATTAATACCTTCTTGCTCTTCCTTGACTTCAGATGAATTCCCCTCTTTTCTATATTATCTACTTTTAGTTTAAAGATTCCTCCAACCTTCTAGCCCAGTGATGGCAAACCTATGGCACACGTGCCACAGGTGGCACGCCGGGCCCTCCCTGTGGGCATGCAGCCATAGGTTCACAATCTATGCAGAGTAAGCACCTGCCTGCCCAGCAGGAGGCATCGAGGAGCTGTGTGGAGCGGTGCCGCGCGTTACAATGGCAACGCTCCACACAGCATTGCGCGGGAGGACAAGAGAGCTGCAGGACCTGTCCTCCTGTCCTACATACTTACCACCACCGGACCACCAGGGATGGCTGTGTTCCCCCCCTCCCCTTCACCAAAGGTAAGAAGAAGGGAGGGGGGGATACTGATTCAATATGCTTTAAAAAAAGTGTTTTTAATGTATCTTTAACCCCTACCCCCCCACACACAGCACCGCACACCCCTCCCCTCCCCCACACACAGCACCCCTACCCTCCCACACACAGCACCCCTAATGCCCACACACGGCAACCCTAGTCCCCACACACACGGCACCCCTACCCCCCACACACAACACCCCCCCCTCCACACACAGCACCCCCCCCCTAGCACCCCACCCCCACACACAGCACCCCTACCCCCAAGCATACACAGCAACCCTACCCCCCACACACAGCACCCCTCACAAACACAGCACCCCTCACACACAACACAGCACCTCACACACACACACCCCTCACACACAGCACTCTACACCCTTACACCCAAACACATACACTGCAACCCTCAATGCAGTATATGTGTATGTGTATTCAGCAGTCTTTAGTATTCAGCAGTGTGTGTGTATTCAGCTGACTGTGTGTGTATTCAGCTGACTGCGCGTGTATTCAGCAGACTATGTGTGTGTATTCAGCAGACTGTGTACTCAGCAGACTGTGTGTGTATGTATTCAGCAGTGTGTGTATTCAGCAGTGTGTGTATTCTGCAGTGTGTGTGTATTCAGCAGACTGTGTATTCAGCAGACTGTGTGTATGTTTGTGTGTGTGTGTATTTAGCGGACTGTGTGTGTATTTAGCAGTCTGTGTGTGTCAGTGTGTGTATGTATTAAGCAGTCGCTGTGTGAATGTGTTCAGCAGTCTGTGTGTATGTATTGCATTTGTTGGAGATACTAATAAATATCAGCTCAATTTTATCTATTTATATCATTATTTAAAATGTGTATTATTGATTTCTCTGTTGTGTTCTTCTTTTAAAACAAAAGATGTTAATTAGTTTGGACAACTGTACAAGTTGTTTTTTCTAAACTTAAACCTCAGTATTCAGGTTTAATTGCCGTGTTGGCATTTTGAGGAAAAATAAGTTGGCATGTATTGTGGTTTGGGCACTTAGGCTCAAAAAGGTTCGCCATCACTGTTCTAGCCGCTCCCTCCCCAGCACAAAAGACCCTCTCCAATTCATGTGCAATCCATCTTGCTATAAAGATTGTACTCAAGCCCAAAATCATCCCAGTGCTCGAAAAACCCCAAACCCTCATTCCTACATAAAGACTTCAGCCATGTATTGACCTCTCTAATCTCCCACTGCCTTTCCACTGTAGTGTGCCGCACAGGTAATATCTCAGAAAATACCAGCTCAATGGTCCTCTTCTTAAGTTTGCTATCTAATTCCCTGAACTCAATCTTTAACGTCCTCCATCTTCTTCTAACTTACTCATTGGTTCTAATATGGACCATGGCAGCAGACAGGGTCAATTCCAGCCCTTCCCAATAATTTCTTCACCCTGTCAGTAATATGCCGGACCTGAGCACCCAGGAGACAGCAAACTGTCTGGTTGATGCAATACTATTCTTTTAATAATGGAATCTCATACCACCTATCCCCTACCACCACAACCTGACTAGCATTCCCTCCAATATGGATCCCATCCATAGTAGAAGAGCATATATCACAGCTACAGCAGAGACTATACCAATATAGAACTTATCATAGATACAACAGAGACTATACAAATATAGCACATATCACAGCTACAGCACAGACCATACCAATATAGCACATATCACAGCTACAGAAGAGACCATACTAATATAGCACATATCACAGATACAGCAGAGACCATACTAATATAGCACATATCACAGATACAGCAGAGACCATACTAATATAGCACATATCACAGCTACAGCAGAGACCATACTAATATAGCACATATCACATCTACAGCAGAGACCATACCAATATAGCACATATCATAGATACAGCAGAGACCATACCAATATAGCACTTATCATAGATACAGCAGAGA